CATACAACTGTTGAATTCATAATGGTTTTTTTGTGAGTGGTTTACAGGTGCTGACAAAACTGTATTTCTAAATTGACAATGGACACTTTTGGAGAATATTGTGTTCATTTTATATGGCTGTAGATAACATGTTTACATTGTATTCAGAGGTATGCATATATATACATATATACAAACAAATGTTTAAGTGTGTACAGGAAGGGGAATCCAGAGCTCCTATTCACTGGCAGGTAGGAGAAGCATGAGGGAGATTACAAACACTAAAGCATTTAGGTACTGGAGCAAGAATAAGAAGAGATAGCTCAGTGGTTAAGAGTGTTTGCTGCTCTTGCAGACACCTGTAGTTAGACTCACAGCACCCATGTCAGGTGGCTCACAACTGCCCGCAACTCCAGATCCAAGGGATCCAATACCTCTCCCTACTTCCCAGGTACCTGAACTTGAGGCCATGTATGTTTGAAATCTCTTTCGTTAAGCAGAGTATACCTGAAGATTCCTCACCAGAGTCTATAGCCCAGACCACAGTTAAGATCTCTGATGTTCAACAGGGAACGAAGTGAAGAATTGAGAGGTTTGAAATGCTAGGCAGGCAGGACAGCAGGCTGGATTTGTTTCCTAGGCTGTCACACAAATCACCACAAAGTGGACAGCTCAACAGAAATGTATTCTAGCACAGGGCTGGAGGTCAAAAGTCCAAACTCAAGGTGTTGGTAGGGCCCTGCTCTGTCCAGGGTTAGAGATTCTCCCCCTTGCCTCTCAGCTTCTAGTGGCTGTCACATGTGTCTTGACTGCAGTTGCTTGCTGCAACCTGTCCCCATTTTCACAGGGCTTTGTCCTCCTCCTTTCTGGGTGTGTGTTCCAAGGATACTTGCTGCTGGATTTGGGGGCACCCCAGGATAACCCCGAATGACCATATCTTGAGATATCTTTCATCTTTCCCCTGTGTTAGTTCTGGGAATGAAACTTAGATGGTAGGTCTTAGCAGCAAGCACACTAGACCCACTGAAGCATCTCTTCGGCCATAATCTTTTCAAGATAAAAGAAAAGTTGAAAACTATGTAGCTAGGAGGTAGCAAACACCACCCTAGTTACATCTGCAAAGACTGCCTTTCTAGAGACAGTGTCACAGTCATAGTCCCAATGATTAAAAGGCAGGCCTATCTTTTGAGGGTCCACTCAATCAATCATGTAGGCCAATCCCAAGACAACTAGCAGGTTGTCAGAGTAAAAGGAAGGGAATGGTGGATGGCAAAGCAGTCTGGCTCTAGCACCGCAACAAACCATGCTCAAGAGGAGGTGTAGAGGTGCCGAAGCTGCCACTGACAGATGAGCGGGTGGAAGTGGGGTGAACGGCAGAGCTGACTTTATACATTACCCCCAGTTTCTGAGTCAGGACCCTATACTCCATACTCACCAGGCCATGACTGTGCTTTCAGTGGGGGCGGGGGGAGAAACCAAACCAAACCAAACCATAAGTTGTACCAGCAGGAGGACATTAGGAGCTCTCAGGAGATTGGAAGCTGGGAGTCAGGTTGGCTACAAAGAATAACAGAGCATGCTCATATGAATTGGTAGACTCCTAAGTGGCTGTCACTTACTGGACAGCTGCTGTGCCCCCAGCACTCTGCACATGTGTCACTGCCTCTTTTCAGCACCGCCTCGTAGCATGAGTTCCAGAATATGAGCTTCCGTTTACCGAATGAGGAAGCAGGCCAGCCATGATGGAAGTTAGGACAGGTGAAACGGCTCACCAGGAAAACAGTTCTTGGCATAGAAGCCTGGTGAGCTGAGTGTGATCCCCATAAAGTTGGAGAGTGAGAATTAAGTCCACACAGTTGTCTGTGGCATGCACACACCCCAAGGACAGCCATATACACCATTGACTCCCAACACAATAATAAAAATAAAAATGTGTTGTATGTAGCAGGGGGAGATCAGAGAACAACTTTTGTGAGCCAAATTTTTCTTCCAGACATGGGTTCTGAAGTTGTAGCTTTTGGCAACAAATGTACTTTGAACAGCCGAGTCATCTTTTGACCCTTATTTTCTTTTTAAACAAGGAGGGTGGGGTGACTAACTGGAGGTGACAGAGCTAGAATTCAAACCCAGACTATACTGTTTCCTAAGTGCAAATCTACTAAAATATGATAACTCTCCACCAAAGACTTGTGGATTCTAGGGTCTGAACTCAGGTCCTGATGATTTGCCAACCAAGTTCTTTCCACAGTTCCCAAGGCTATGTCCTACTATCTTAATGTTGCCACTTACAGGGAGCTCAAGTTCCCAAAGTCTGGGATATGGTATCGTCTCTAATGCCAGATGCAGCTCTTTAATGATTATATGTTACAACACTCTTCCCCCATAGCATCCCTACCTCCACCAAAGGCAAGTACCAGTAGTATTATTCAGCTGGCAGTATCCTGGCTTACAGTATTAACTTTCTCCATAGTGACCCACAATGCAAAGCAACAGTGATGAAATAAGATTTAAGAAGCTGTATCATTCCTCCAGCTCAATCAGGCATTTATACCTTTTGAATTCCACTTTATCAAGTCTACAAATACAGCCAGTTCTAGCAGTGTCCACAAATCTTCAAACATAGAGTTAGGGTTGGGGTTGAACACCAAACCAAAGTATTTCCATACCTAGAATAGAGTTTAGCTGCACTTTTAATTTCAGAGAAAGTAATAGGATGAAAGTATTAGAAAATCCTAATATGAACTGACCCAAATTGTTAAGTTTCTTATAGGGTTTGAATGTCAGCTTGGGTGTCAGCCAGACTTGTCTGGTCCATGCTTGGAAAGAGGAGTGTGGATTGAGGAAAGGAATGGCAAGAGACAAGAGATAGAGACAGGAGAGCATCTGGTGAATGAATACCAGGATCAGCCCCAAGTTTATTATTCAAAGTTCTTATACATCCCAATACAAAGGGGGGGGGGAGGCAAATGACTTCCTTACCAAGACACAAAAAAACAAGCAAGTAGAATTGCCTACTCAGTACCCCAAACATCAAGTAATCACACCCTAAACCAAATATCCTGTTGTTAAGGTAAGAAATCCATTAGTTACACCTTAGGTCAAATATTCTGTTGTCAATGCAAGACATACAATAGCCAAACCTTAGGTCAAACATTCTGTTGTTTAACCTTGAAAGAGCAATAGTGGGTTTGAACTCTCTTACCTTAAGATGAAGCAGAGCTGCTTTTATGGGCCCTGACACTTGGGTAAATTAAAAATAACAAGACAATAGTCAGGTGTAATGCAATTGTCATCACCTAGTGAATACACTACCAAATACCCTATATTTTAAAAATGTGGCTGAGGTAGAACAATGTATCTCAGTATATCTCAACAGCTGTTTTGTGCAGTTCTCAGCTGCTAAATAAAGACCTGGTCTTTCTATCTACATTCTCCCTCATCTTCCTCCTCAGGCTTAAGCACTCTTCATTGTGTGTGTGTGTGTGAGAGAGAGAGAGAGAGAGAGAGAGAGAGAGAGAGAGAGAGAGAGAGAGAGAGAGAGAGAGAGAGAGCACACCTGTGTATGCATGTGCATATGAAGGCCAGAGGTCAACCTCAAATGTCTTCCTCAATAGCTCTCTGCCTTACTTTTCAGGATAGGGAAGCACACTGGATCTGGAATTTACCAATTGGCTTCCCTGGCTGACCAGCAAGCCCCAAAGAGCTTCTGGTCTCCATCTGCCAGCTCTGGGATTAGTGATACACGCTGTCATGCTTAGCTTTTTAATGTGAGTCTTAGGGATCAAACTCAGGTCCTCTTGCTTATGTGCAGGTGAGCATTTTACTAACTGAGCCACCTCTTCAGCCCCACAATCTTCATTTTAAAGATCCATGAGCATTTGCTTCAATACAGAAGCCAGATCGACAGCCATTTCATTTTTCCTGATGACATTTTCTGATTTACATATATATGCATACATTTCCCCTCTCTTTTAAAATACGTTGGGTTAGGTTTGGGTTATAGTGTTTGCTGTTAGCTGGAGGACTTCCTGGAATCTGAAGATATAAAGAGCTGAATGCCTTGGCAGGCAGCTTTCTCTGGCAGTCCCACGTCACCATAAAAGCCTGTTCTTCGGATTACTGCATGCGGATTAGAAACCCAGGGATCAGTTCTAAGTTAGCCCTGATTAATTCCCCTGGGTGTTTCTGGGCCAGAGAGGGTGTCTGTTAGACTCAAACCTGTGAGTTTGTACGCATTCACTGTACAAAAAGTTAATTTTTACTTAAACCCAATTCGGGCTAATCACGAAGCTACCAGGAATGATCTGGAATATGAACTAAAGTGTTCCTGCAGTCGCGTCAGCTGAACCTTCTACCCCCACGATTCTGTCTGCCCACATGCTTCTGTCTATCATCCTTGGCCTCCGGATCCGCTCTCGCGCCATTGGTTGGATTTCAGGAAGGAAGAAACCCAGGATTTAAAGGGCTCAGTTTTCCACCTGCCAGGCCGGGTCCAACTTGCTTTTGACACGTTATTTGGGAGAACCTATAGCAGTTCTTCATTTACTACACTCACTGGTTAAAGGAAAAGGAGTTTCCGAGGGTGTCACCTTGACAATCTCCAAAAACGAAACTTGCGCTCAAGATTAGATCGACACTGAGTCTGCGAGGCAGAGTCCCTGCCCAGGTCATCAGAGCCAACCCTTCGGGAGGGAACAAGGGAGGGGCCTGGAGTAGGTGTGGCTTTCCGTGGGAGAGTAGGATTTTGCCCCACCTCCTAGGAAGCCTGCTCTGCTTCCAGCCAATCAGGCTGGGATATGCAAATAGAGCCCGGGTCACCCCGGTAACCATGATGTATGTCAGCCAATGGAAACCAGCCAGTGGCGACCTCGCTCCTGGATTGGTATTGAAGTATGGCGACAGGGATCCAATGGACTGTGGGAACAGTCCTCGGCGGGTTGAGGGGCGGAGATATGCAAATGTGGTTTGAAAAGCCGGCGGGAAATCTGAGTTTCGCGGGAGGACCTTGGCGCGTAAACCGTATCCCTTCATTCATTGTCAGCAGCAGCTTCCTGGAGCCATTTTTCAGCTGCCGGCCGCAGCACCCGGGCTGCCGCCGCCGCCTCGCAATCCGTTGCATCGGCTGCCCCCGACGCCTCCATCTCCCCTCGGGGCCTGATATCCGTGCGGCCGGGACCCTCCTCTCTCCAGACCCCCGATTATTTTTGGCCCCGGGACCTGTGCGGTGCGGAAAAATAAAAAGAAAAGAGAGAGAGAGGGTTCGGAAGCGCCGGGAGGGGAGGCGAGAAGGAGAGACTTGGAAACTCCGACTGCAAATAATAAAGAAATTGAAAGCAATACGTTAATATATCGTAACACTAAAAAAGAGCAGGAGCGAGAGATGAGAAAGGGGATCCAGCCCGCCCTGGAGCAGTACCTGGTGACCGCCGGGGGTGGGGAGGGGGCGGCTGTCGTCGCCGCCGCCGCTGCAGCCTCCATGGACAAAAGGGCACTGCTAGCCAGCCCCGGCTTCGCCGCCGCCGCCGCCCCGGGAACGTACATCCAGATCCTCACTACGAACCCTTCCACCACGTCCTGTGCCACCTCCCTCCAAAGCAGCACCCTGGCCGCCGGCCCCCTTCTCCCCAGTGTCCCCGGCGCGGAGCCGGCCGCCGGCAGCCTCATCTACACCACGCCACAAGGACCCTCCAGCAGAGCCGGGCTGCTGCAGCAGCCACCAGCACCAGGACGAGGCGGCGGCGGCGGCCCTCCGGTAATACCCTCCCTCCGCAACGTCCCTGGCCCAGGTGGGAGGCGGGCTCCCGGGAGCGGTGGCTGCGAGAGCGCGAGGCTGAGCATCGTGGGCCTCGTAGCTGTCCCTCCAGCGTGTGCTTATTGTTAGACTTGGGGTGCTTCCCTGCGGGCGTTGGGAGGACCTGGGGACCTGGGCAGGCGCGCGGGACAGTGGGGAGTCCCTCTTTGCGAACCACATCTAACACTCCAAAACTTTTCGCGCCCCCCCTTCTTTTCCTGCACTTTTCCCTACCCCCACTCTCCCCTCCCCTGCAACTCGAAGCTTCCTCTTTCTCGGGCGTAGGAAGGGGTCACGCCCCGGATGGAGAAGGGGGTGGGGGAGGGTGTAGTGCACTGGAGAGTGGGGGACCCCAGGGGATGTACACCGGGGACCCGAGGCGTGCCTGCCTCCCCTTCGGCCTCTGCTGCCCCTGGGCGGCCGGGGGTCCTACAGGCGTGCTCCGAGCGTAGGGGCTCCAGTGCCTAGCACCTTTGGGGACCTAGCTCCCGGCAACAAAGGGGATCTGGGAGGTGGAGGGGTATCTCGGTGGGGGAGGTGGAGCTGAGAGCCCCGGGTGGGCCAGGGCTCGCGCTGTCTGCGACAAGGGGCCGGCAGGCGGGTGCTCCGGCCTGGGCGCATCTCCGCGGTGGCAGCGGCGGCGCCCGCGTGGCCGGAGCGCCGGGGCCTTGCTCACCGGGCCCCGGGCCTGCCCTTGACCCGCCTCTCCCCTTGCCCCTTCCTTCCCCGCCCTGTCCCCCTCCCCGCCCCCCGGCGACGGAGGGCGGGGGCAGCCAGGTTCCCGTCCCGCCGCCAGGATCTGTCCCTTCTCTCCGGGACCCGCCGGTGACGTTTCGCACACGTGCGCGGAGGACGCGCCTGTGACTGGGGAGGAGGTGGCGGCGGGAGGGGGCGCTGGAGGGGGAGAGGGGGCACCCACTTCCTCCTGCTCGCCGGCTCCCAGGCCTGGGACCGTCCCGGCGCCCTCGCACCCAGCACCGCCACCCTCCCTCTCCCGTCCCCACCCCCCCACGGCGCCCGCCCTCGCCCGGCGCCGCCGCTCCGCTCGGCCTCGGGCCCCCTCTCCAGCCGGCCCCCCACCTCCCCCGGAGCCAGGCTGCTTTCGGAAATGCCCTTACAGCAGCAGGTTAGTGACCCGGTCGGCGCGGGGTCCGAGCCACCCCCGCGGGGACCCGGGATCCCCGGGGGCCCCGAGCCGGAGGATAAGCGACCGAGCGGGGTTTTGGAGTGGGAACGGGGGGTTGGGTGCTTGAGGGAAATGAGTAAGCAAGAAAAATCTAACTAAGTAAATCCCCGGCCTCGCTTCTAGGAGCCCCGGGGCGGGAGTGGCCGCCCCCGGGGTGGGTATACTGTTTACGTGTGTTTCTTTTGGGGGGTGGATGGATGGGCAATTGAAACCCAGATGAGGGCTTCATGCCCGTGGCCGAGTTGAGCTGCCTTCTGTCTTGCTTCCCTTGTGCTGAAGGGGGAGGGGGCGGGTCAGAGGGTAGGGTGTCTGTGGGGTTCCCAGGCCACCCGCCACCCCCTCCCTTTGTCCCTGTAATTTATAAAGCGCCTTTGAGAGATGATTTAGGTCAGTATGCGGCTTCCCTTTTTGTTGCTATTAGAAAGAAGTGTGGCCCCGAGGTCTCCCCTTCTTCCTTTCTCTCCTGCATGCCTTCCTCCATGCCTCCTGTCTTCACCCTCGTGTTGAGGCTTGGCACAGATCAGGCTAGAACCCACCCGGACTTAGCTATCTGTGGTTGCATGATAATACCAGTCGAGGACCTCACCTAGATGTAGGTCTAGATGTGTTTTGTTTTGCACAATCAGTATTTCTCTGGGGTCTTTTAAGAAGAAAGTCTGTGCACATATATAGGACTTTGAGAGATGGGGTGGGTAGATAAATAATTAATTTTTAAAAATTCCTTTTCTGTTCATAATTTTGCCCTGGGTTGGATCTTTAGTGCTTTCCAGCCTAGAGATACTTATTGGGGATGTGTGATACAGTCCCAGTCAAAGAGGCTCATCCTTTAGTGACTAGGGTCTGCCAGCAGGGGGGAAGCCAAGTACAGTACCTGCTTACACATACAGTATCCAGTGTGCTAGATTCTTGGGCACAGAATATTTCATGCTCTCATTAGCAGTAAATAATTTTGCCGACTTGATTACACATGCTTGACCATACAATAAGCCTATTTCCCCCTACACAATCGGTTCCTATATCATAAATAACCTGGAACAACTGGCTATTGACATGCTTCTTGGATTAGATTCAGGGTTGCAGGGAACGTTATTTTTGATAATAGGAAATTGTGAGACTACTAGATTGCTCTTTAAAAAAAACTTAGACTATTTGTTGGACCAGGTCACCAAGACTGTCTAACCAGATTTATGTGTAGTTCACTGTAGTTAAGTATTTAAAATACAAAAATATTGCCTTCATCGTCTTCCAAGTTATTTCTAAACTATTAGCTTTCTTGCCATAAAGTTATTCCAGGAGTATAGATTGTTTTGAATTTGGGTACTCAAATAATGTTTCATTATAGGGATATAAATGCTTCTTATACATATTCAGAAGTCATTTTATGTAAGATTGTAATGTATGCTGAATCACTGGTTAATCTACGATTTCAGTGCTGTATCTTCTGGGAGGGGTATGAAGTTTATCTCCCAAGTGTATACAAAGTCCTCGGTATTGCAAGCAATGTTTGATTTTTTTTTTCTTATCAGTATTTCAGTAGGCTTTCAGTTCAGTTTTGAAATTTATTTTATTTTATTTTTGAGGCAGGGTCTCTTGTAACCTTGAACTCCTGATCTTGACTCGAGTGCCTACGTTCTGAGATTAAAGACATGTACCACCCTGTGTTTTGGAATTGTATTGATGTTTTCCCCTAAGCATGAAGGTTGGGAAGGTATGTCAAATGAACCAAAATAGTATCATTCAAACATTTTATATTCAAGAAGAGATGGGGGTTTCTTCAGGTATCACAGTTCTAAGACCCACCTGGGTCTACTTTCAAGTTCCAAATCCAGAACATTTGAGAACTTGACAGAGCAAGTGTCTTGCCTTCTCATTAGCTGTAGCTTCCTGTCTTCATTTACAAGCTGTCTGCTGTTTGGACAAATAACTTAATCTGTCAGAATTGTTCATTATTCTATAAAATAGGATGGTAGTAATTCTAACTGAGGATTTTAAAAAGCAATATGAAAATGCATGAACAATACTTAAGCACAAGGCCTGGCAAATAGTAGCTATTGCATAAAATTAGTCTTCATAAATCAAGTATTTTTATAACTCAGGAACCGCATACATAGCTGTCCCTTTGTTTACCTATATGAGCAGAATGATCATAAGTTTTCTAAAGTGGTATGTAATTTCAAGAAAATTGACAATCTGTCAATGCAAGAGGCAGTAGCCTATCACTTCAGATTGACTTTAATTCAGTCATAGCAACCTGCTGGTTGTACATTGCAAAGGAGCCCTCCATGCCTAATAAATCTCATCTGAGAATGGAGGACTATAGATGCTGTTTCAGCAGGGTTTTTTTCCTGAACAAGTTTGAAAGAAGAAAAATGTGGGTTCCTGTGGTTCTGCATACAATAATCTTGCTTCTACTGAGATGTATGGTGGATGCCAACTTGAAGCTGGGAGAGAATTTTTAGTCACTACATACCCCAAAATGGAAGTTTTAATATAATGCAATGCCCAGACGTGGGCAGGACAAATAGCTCCACTATAATCAGTACAGAGGGCGCCACCCTAATCATCCCTGGGAACAAAGCACCCTTAACTGAGCTAAAGCATCCAAGCATGAGAACAGGAAAGGATTTTTTTAATGTGGATTTTTCTAAAAATCACCACCTTGTATAATACTTGGAGGGAGGACAGAGTGTGTGGAGTTTAACGGCGTGGGGTGTAAAGTTAACTTGGGAAAAGAATATCTGTCTACCCAGGACTTAGGAATAAATACTAACACCTGGAGAGTGAAAAGACTGGCAGGGGGAGAGGGGTATTTTGTGTCTTAGAAATAAAAAGCAGTTTCCCCTTAACTTTTCTCTACTGTCATCTCCAGTGAGACCAGACACACACACACACACACACACACACACACACACACCGCTTTAGTCCCTTTCCAATTGGCAATTTTCTCCAACTTACCCTGATTCATATAAATAGTCCATATGACTGGGTATAAACATTGCCCCAAATCAGCCAACTCCAATTCTTTTCACCCATCTATTTTTTAGTAGTATTTTAATCAGGATGGGTGAAGACCATTTACTTAATATATGAGTACCCCAAGATCTGTGAAGGTAACTGAAATAGTGCAAGAAGGAAAGATTCCTGTTTCCACCCCACCTTGCTGAAAGGAACATTCCTGAATTCTTTGAGGTACATTTTCTTGGTTGTTATAGTGTTTCATGGACTGTTTACAGTTGCTAAAGAGCCCCTGCCCAGTGATAGTTCACAGGACTATGAAGACTAGATAAATGGGAAACCACAGATGTGTAGGGCCTTCCCCCTCTCCATCCTGTCTGCCTTCTAAGAATGCCTGGGAAAACACTCTCACACAGAGAAGGGGTATACTACAGAAGGTGCCAGAAAGCAACCACTCAGGAGACTGGCAAGGTGGGGGTAGGGTTAATACAGTGGGATTATTTAGGTGGTTTTCCAGTAGGGGGATGTTTAGTTTATTTCTTCTCATACTTTTCCCTTAGATGTTCACCTCAAATATTTAAGTTGTGAGAATGTGTTTCTACCCTGTAATGTAAGACAGGAGCTGTGTTAGCTTGAGGATGAAGCCAGTGAGAAGATAGCTGATTGAATCCAGAAGATAAAACAAGAATGAGTGGCTTCCGTTTGCTTTCTCTGCGGCAGCCCAACTGTTAGGAGCCATTTATAATGTCCACGCAGCATTCTTATAACTTGATGCCAGTATTTCAGGTCAGCATATTCACTACTTGATAAGTGTGATGGT